AAAAAGAAAAGCATCAATATTAGTGCCTAAAAGAACTAAAGACTAAACTATAAAGATCTAAGACTAAAAGATCACACTTTTTCCAGCTGGTGCCAGTCTGAGGAAGCTTGTACCTTAACTTTATAGCCAAAAGTTTCTATATCTAATATACATGTGACCAAAATCTTTATCAATCAATCTTTAACAATTGAAAAATTAAGTCTTATGTATCAGTTGCCACTTTTTGTTGAAACAGTTAATGATAACAGAATGGGGCAGGTCGGACGATTCGTCCCTTTCAGTTAGGTGTAAATCCATTGAGTCATTTATAATACACAAGCAAGGCTGGTCAAATAATCATTAAAAAGTAAAAAATAAAATGTTAAAAATCGAATCTTTAGCACCGTTGCCTCACAGCAAGAAGGTCCTGGGTTCAAATCCAGTGGAGTGTGGCATTTGCTTATTCTCCCTGTTTCTGTGTGGGTTCTCTCTGGCTTCCTCCCACAGTCCAAAGACATGCTGTTAGTGGGGTTAGGTTGACTGGTGATTCTAAATTGACTATTTGTTGAATATATGTATGAATGAGTGTCTGACCAGGGTATGCCCTGTCCATCTGACTTTAGCCTTCCCACAACACTGAACTGGACAAGTGGATGGATGGATGGACCAAGTTGGAAGATACAACTGTGTGTTGTTATAAATTGTGTCTCAATCAGTCTGATTGCTGCAAATATACCAATACTCTGTCACGTGTAGTGCTACAGAGTGACTGCAATACCACTGCCATAGGACATGATAGAAAGGACCACTGATCAGCTACCATGCAAGACTCTCCACCTCTCCTGAGTAATCTGCAGACATTCTCAAGGTAAAGGGATGATTTCTACAGAGAACAACATGTGGAGTTTCACAATGCAGTCTTTTATAAATGAGACCCCAGGACATCTGTTGGATTGCTGTGGATACTCAACTTCCATCCATCCAATCGCTAATACAGCACATAATCGCAGATGGGCTGGAGGCTATCCCCGCTGTCATACAGCAAGAGGCAGGGTACACCATAGAGAGGTTGTAATGATGTTCTCAATCATTTCCAGTCATGTTCGGATAAACAGGCCCGCAAACATCTGTGCATTCAAGCGCTTCTGTTTCAGCAAAAGCGTGTGTGCTGCTTGTTGCTTAAGGCTAATTATTCATGTGCTGTAACTGGTGTACGAGCATGCACCCAAACCCATTCAGACACAGCAGACCTTTAATATTCTGGGATTTGGATACATGTATCCAATAAACATGAATTAGTGGTAAAATGATATTTAAGATTGGTTATTATAATAATTATTACTATTTCCAGTATTATAGCCATTGTATCAACATAAATAATGATAATGGTGCAGGCAGGAGGTTTGTGTGAATAGAATTATATTGTTCCAGTCTGCTGCTGTGTATGTCCACAAAACATTTGTTTTATGACAAACAGACTGGCAGTGAGCATGTCTGAAATACAGTCAAAGGAGTTTATCATCTTTTAAAGTGCAATGAAACACTGTCAGTATAAACTGAGTGCAGCGTGAAGTGCTGGGCCGTGTTCTGTCTTGTTCATTCTCCCTCTAGGACATGAACAAGCGGACTGAGAGAAATGTATGACATTTAGATATCTTTCCAGAGTAGCCTGCCTAAACAAATCAAGCAGTGAAAAATAAAAAAGCCCTTTGATTTGATTGTTTTTCTCTGCAGATAAACACGACTGACGTGATGGTCCGGGAGAGCGGACAGGTGAGCGAGACTAAAATACAACAGTGTGAAATAGTGCCAACACTCACCAATATGTCAGAGCAAATGTCAGATGTGTCAGAGCCAGATCAGATCAAATACAAGCAGCTCACGTACTGTGACCTGCATGTGTTGCCAGAAGAATGTGATTTCACTCAAACTGGCAAC